TCTACATCTTAAAGATCCTGGTGCAGCCCTGACATTGTGTGAGTATTATAAGTAAAAAAGACAGTTATCTAGATAGGATATGAAGCCAAACTTAATGACATAAGTGATGCCAGCAAATGGTTGTAGAAGTTAGGAGAGTGGGTGGTGCCTGTGTGCCTCAGAGGAAGAGTGGTGCCATATAAGGCACCAGGCTTCTGGCTGTGGTCAACGTGTGTCTGTGTGCTGTGAACAGCATACGTAACTTTTAAAATTATACAGCTGTACAAATGTAAGATACGCTAGTCAAAGTCAAAATTATTTGTCTCCCTTATATTTTGATTCAACCTTTCAGATGAGCTCTCAGTTTTTATTTTCCAACTAGCATTTCTTGGTTCAAAGCATCTAGTTGTTTCTAGTTCCCTGTATCTTTGAGTAACTGGGGTTACAGATCTCATGACTGTGTTGTTGCATAGGCACTTTTTGTCTCTGGTAACCAGAGTGCCATGCAGTGGGTGACACTCTGCCGGTCAGAACACAAGCATTCAGGGACCACAGACCTTTAAGCATTCAGCAATGAGGCCTCTGGTGAAAAATTAAGCATGAGAAAATTGATCTTTCCTACAGATTGAATTCAGTGATGACTATGTTTTTAACAAGGCAGAGTTATAGATTATAACTAAATTCTTAAATACCGATTTGGATTCAGACAAATTGGGTAACATTTTACAGTCTTTCTTTCTTCATCTATAGAATGAAGATAATAATCCCTACCTCAGGGGGTTGATTTTACTATTAAAATGGGATAATATGCATAAAATACTTAGATCCGTGCCTGACATAATGTTTCTTAATAAACAGTCAGTGTTCCTATTAACATATAAATGTGTACATGGTATTTTCTAAGCCTTTTCTTCTATAGACTAAAGTGGGGATTTTCTATGGATAATTTTGTTGCCCAGATTCAAGGGTATTAGATAGATTTTTAACTGTTAGTCCCACAGAATTCTAGTACTCCAGTAGCACGGAATCCAGACTGAGTCGGTACAACATGTTTTTCTCTGAGCAGTCATCAATCTTTCCTGGCCCTTCCTGGCCAAGTGCAGTGTGAATGCCTGAGTGAGCTTCTTGGTGCTGACATTCAGAGTTCACAGCACTCATCGGCGGCGTTAACACCTGCCGCTGAAAAGGCTGCCACAGTGCGGTCGGCTCCTCCTCCTGCCAAGGTGTTAATGGTTCAAAAGGAGAGACAGTTCTGCCAAGCTTGGTTAGTTTAAGATACACTCCCTAAAGGGCACAAGCCGGAAAGATCTGTGCTGCTGGCTTTGTTATTGCATCCTGTATGCGTGAGTTTTGAACATAAAAATTTGTGGTGTTTATAGATAACTGAATTAGGTTCTGCAGGATTTTTTATTTAGACCCTGTGTGAGTCCACTCAGGCTGCCATACAAAATACCACAGACTGGGTGGCTTAAAGAACAGAATCTATTTTCTCACAGTTCTGGAGGCTGGAAGTCTGAGATCAGGCTGCCAGCAGGGTCGGGTTCTGCTGAGGCCTCTCCTCCTGGCTGGCACGCAGCCGCCTTCTCCCTGTGTCCTCAGGGGGCCTTTTTTTGGTACATGCTCACAGAGATAGAGCAGTCTCTCTCTTCCTCTTCCTGTAACGCCACCAGTCCTGTTAGGTTAGGACTCTACCCTTATGACTTCATTTAACCTTAATTACCTCCTAAAAGTCGTCTCTCCAAATACAGTCACATTGGGGTTAGGCCTTCAACATAAGAATTTTGGGAGGACACAGTTCAGTCCTTAGCAGGCACTTTTCCACATCCAAAATGGGAAGAGGAATTTCAGATCAGTAGTCCACAGCAAAGGTATTGAGGATCCTACACCCTATTAGAAATAGTATTATCCCACAATAAGACTATATGGACAATAAACATTAAGCTTCTTTAATTTTGACTGAAATTTTATTTTATAATAACACTGATTATTTCATGAAAAATTAAAAGTTCTAATTGAACTTTGTATATGTCTTAGTGACTTTTATGAAAAATAAATTAAGAAATGCCATTTACTTGGTTAAGTAATTTTTAGCTCCACTACCACCTTTAACTTTTTTTGTGTATGAAGAAGACTGGCCCTGAGCTGACATCTGTTGCCAGTCTTCCTCCTTTTTTTTTCCTCCCCGAAGCCCCAGTACATGGTTGTATATCCTAGTTTAAGTCTCTGGTTCTGGGGATGCCGCCACAGCATGGCTTGATGGTGGTGTGTAGGTCCACGCCCAGGATCCAAACCGGCAAACCCCAGGCTGCCAAAGCAGAATGCAAACTTAATCAGTCGGCCACTGGCTGGCCCCAAGTTTTCTTGCTAAAAATATCAAACCTAAATCTAATGAACCCTTGAGGATCTAGAGTCTAGATACTACCAGTGTACAGGAAATACAGAGGACGAGATTATGTTAAATGATGCCTCATACATGCAATCTACAAAATCCAGAATGTAGGACTATCTACAGGACAAAAATCACAGTTTCTTCAATTAAAAGAGAGAGCAACAAAAAAGGAATGAACTGTTGATACACACAACTTGAAACGATGTTTAGTGACCCTAGTATGAAATCCGAGAGGTTGTGTACTGTATGATTCCATTTATATGAAATTCCTGATCAGGAATCGGCACCCTTTGGAGCCAGTGCCCAAGGGAGGTGCTAGTCTTCATGGGACAGAGCTCCAGCAGTCAGTGTGACCAGAGCCCCAGGAGTCCAGGCCTGGGGCCTAGAATAAATGTGGGCCACGTGCCACTTCTCTCGTCAGCACGTATTGAATGAGCATATATGTTGAACTGGCCGCTGGAAGTAATAAAGGGGAGTAAAAGTGGGTTTGCAGTGAGACTGCAGAGTTAGAATTAGAGAACAGTCTCCTCTTAGAAAATGTGATACAAGCTTGAAGAACAGTAAAGATCCTGAGAAGGCAGAGCTCAGTATGAACTGAACTAGACAGAGAAAGCTTCATGGAAGAGGTGCCAAGCAAGAGGTTTGGATGGAAAGGGTGTGGATGTCAGGTAGTATAGTGTGAATAAAGACAAGTGGCAGGAATGAGCAAGCCAGATGTGAGCAGCTGGAATAAAGCTGTCTGGATCTGAAGTGCGTTGTGCAGAAATAGGAAATGAGGTTGGGCACATGGGCCCGGGCCAGGCCACCGCAGCCAGGCAGAAGATTGCACCTTCTTAGTGTGAGCACTAAACCATCCATGGCAGTTTCTGAGTAGGGGTGACCTGACAAAATTAGGATTATTCAAATTAAAGTTTATAACTACTGAGAGGCAGTTCAACGGTGTGTAAAATGTCCTTTAAAATGTTTATACGAGCAGGTTCTGTTTCTTGATTGGATGCTAGGGGCATGGTTGTGTTCACTTGGTGAAAATTCACCAAGCTGTACGGTTACAATTTGTGCACATTTCAATATGTGTGTTACACTCAAAAAAAATTTTTAGTATCCTTGCTGGGATGTAGAGGAGCTCAGCTGGGACCACCAGATATGTTACATGTATCCATCTATGACCCATAAATGATAAGGGAAATAATAATCCATCACTAACTTGCCCAAAGTCACGCAGATGGTTAACGGTGGAGGTAGGTCGGAAATTGTTAGGTCTCCGATTCCCAGTCCAGTCAGACTTCTTTATAGAAAATGATAAGCATTTCCTTCTTCTTAGGATGGTACCTAAGATCTTGGCTAGGGTAGCCTTCCTTCGTCTGCATATATTTCTCAGGTACTGGAGAAATCAACAGATCATTAGCATTTCCCAAATACAGGCGGGAATTCTTGCTTTAAAGATTTGCATCTAAACATAGATAGGAATATCCCACTTCCCTAAGATTTACCCTTAAAATAAATGAGAACTGTTTCTGAGTTTATTAAAAATGCTTTTTGTCATACAGACACACACTCGATGCAGCCCCCCTTGTCTATTTCTCGGCCAGTTTGCAAGGACTTGCTACAGGCAGGTATGTAGTAAGTGGAACAAAGAAGTTGTGAAATTGTATGTTCAATATAATCTCATTTCTGTGATAACATACTAGAAATATATGGCTGGCCCTGTGGCCGAGTGGTTCAAGTTCCACCCACTCCACTTCAGCAGCCCAAGTTCACAGGTTCGGATCCCAGGCACAGACCTATACCACTTGTCAGCCATGCTGAGGTGGGACCCACGTACAAAATAGAGGGAGACTGGCACAGATACTAGCTCAGGGCTAATCTTCCTCAAGCAAAAAAAGAGGAAGATTGGCAACAGATGTTAGCTCTGGGCAAATCTTCCTCACCAAAAAAAAAAGAAAAACACAAGGCCAGCCTAGTGGCATAGTGGTTAAGTTTGTGCACTCCTCTTCGGCGGGCCACAGTTTGCAGGTTTAGATCCCTGGCATGGACCTACACACTGCTTGTGAAGCCATGCTGTGGTGGCATCCCACATACAAAATGGAGGAAGATTGGCACAGATGTTAGCTCAGGGCCAATCTTCCTCACCCAAAAAAAAAAAAAAAAAAGCCTATTTAAAAATGAAAGATATACATATAAACAAAAATAATTAGGATATTTACCAGAATGTTAATAGTATATGGAACAATTATAGGTAATTTTATTTTCTTCTTAATGTTATTTTTTTCAATTTTCAACAATGAAATAAATTTTGTAATCAGGAAATAAATTCTTTATTTTAACTCAAAAGAATTTTAAGACTCATCAGGCTTCCTGTCTAGATCCAGTCGCCTGTGAAAGTCCTATGCCAGCACTTTTCTACATCACTACGAAAGGGATCGTTTCAGTGGCCGAGTTCCCCTAGATAACGTTAGAACACTAATTGACAATTGAAATGCAGGGTTTTCACCAGCTAAATATTCAGTCCTATGTCAAAAAGACGTTTCGTTTAGACATAAAATGTCCCAAGAAGACAGTGGTACAGTTGTCTTTTGAAGGAAGCCGCTTAAATGTGCAGCAAGCTGTGAGCTCTGTGGCACTGTTTCCGCAGGTACGCCGGCATCCTCCTGGGCATCACCAACACCTTCGCCACCATTCCAGGGATGGCTGGGCCTGTCATCGCTAAGAGTCTGACACCTGGCGTAAGTAGATGATTTGCTTGTAAACTGAAAAGGTCTAAACAGTTCACTTGAAGCTGCCCGTCTGTGTCAAAGTTGAGTATTTCTTAATTGGGGTAAAATTCCGGATGTTTATTCCTATGCAATTCCTTATAGCAACAAAAAGCTAAGTGCCTTAATGGATGGGAGAGTGTTTTCAAAGAACACTCTTTAGATTTTAGACAGAACCAGAGAACTCAGTTACATGAAGACCTTGTAGCTGAAACCACACAAGTACTTAAAAGTTGTTATATTATACCAGACAAGTACCTTGTGTCTTTGGTTTGAGCGAATAAAAACTGGAAATGTAAAATTATTCCAGAAGTGGATCCACAGAAGAGAGGCATCAGGGAATCTTGTGAGAATGAATAAGGAACAGTTGATACAACAGAGAATCTTAGAGGATCAGAAGGGTGAGAAGACACGGGGATGTCCTCACATACCTGAAGGACTGCCACGTGAAAGATGGGGCTCCTCGGCAGTTCCACAGAGACAGAGAGAAGGGAGTTATGAGGGGACAACAGGAGAGCGCTCGGTTTAAAGCTGTTTCTATATAGAATGGGCTGCCTCATGAGTCAGTGAGCCCTGAAGTAGTCAAACGTGTTCAACCGGCATGGGTTGAGTGCTTATTAATATGCTAGATACTGAGGATTCCAAGGCAAAATGACTATTCTACACTTGAGAAACTCATCATTTAGAGACTCCATGTAATCCAATAAAGTACAATGTGACAAACGCTGCACAAGAAGTGTGTGCAGAGTATGGCCCAGAGGAGAGAACACCGCTTGTGAGAAGGAGCCCTGGACGAGTGAGCCGGGTGTGGGAAGGGCTGCCCTGGCCGGGCACTGAGCCCTGAGAAGCAGGCTGGGCTGGGGACAGGCCAGCCTGAAGCTGGAAGGCGGCACGGGACCAGGTCAGTCAGCAAAGGCTCGGCAGTCTCAAAGGCTGCCTAGTTATATAAGAAATCAAAGTAGGCCACAACTAGAAGGACCCACAACTAAAATATGCAACTATGTACTGGGGGGATTTGGGGAGAAAAAGAAGAAAAAAAAAAAAAAGAAATCAAAGTAAATCACCTTAGAGTCCCGTCTCCAGTTTTCTACTGTTTAAAAAAATCTCGGGGTGGCCCCGTGGCCTAGTGGTTAGGTACAGCATGCTGCTTCAGCAGTCCAGGTTTGTGGGTTTGGATCCTGGGTGTGGACCTACACCACTTGTCAAGCCATGTTGTAGCAGCAACCCACTACAAAACAGAGGAGGATTGGCACAGATGTTAGCCCAGGGCTAGTCTTCCTCACCAAAAAAAAGAAGAAGAAGAAGATTGGCAGCAGATGTGAGCTCAGGTCTAATCTTCCTCACCAAAAAAAAACAAAACTCAAGGACTGGTGAAATATATTCTTTAAAAGGCTGACTTAAACCTCTAAAAGAGACTTAATTTTCTCTTTGTTTTGTTTCTGTGATCAAATGAACACTATCTAATCCTTAGAATTTCAGGATATGCTTACAAAGTTTCTTATTTACTGAATATACTGACTTCAGACATGGATGTGTTCACCACAGATGGTGTTCCTGTTTCTTCTCCGCCATTTCTAATTGCTTCCTTAAATGAATCAGTGCCTCCTCATTACTATTTTCTCTCATTTAATAGGAAGGGATGTTGGGAAAGTTTTTTTCTAAACCTATGCCTCAAATATGGACACATCAGAAATGTTTAACCTCGGGGACGGCCCCGTGGTTAAGTTCCCGCGCTCCGCTTCGGTGGCCCAAGGTTTCACCAGTTTGGATCCTGGGCGCGGACATGGCATCGCTCATCAGGCCATGCTGATGTGGTGTCCCACGTAGCACAACCAGAGGGACCCACAACTAAAAATACACAACTATCTACTGGGGGGCTTTGGGGAGAAGAAGAAGAAAAAGAAAAGAAATATTTAGCCTTATCTTCATGGAGCACTGTGGCAATGCAAGAACCAAAGACAGCACATCACTATGTATTAATTTTACTTATTATTCATAATCCTAGCACTTCTGCTAGGGAAATACGGATTCCTAAATTAACGTCTTGAGTGTTTGTAAAGTGGGAACTGAACTGGATTTGGCATATGTTATCATAGCATTTGTTTAATGTTAGTAAAAGGATCTTATTTTTAAGAAGGAGAAACACATTCGCCTTTATAATTGTAATTTCTTACAATTAGAATTACTGCAGTACCTCAAAAACTTTGTGGAATGAGTCAGAGTATAAATAAATAATGAAATAATTAAAAGTCAAAGTGCGGGGCTGGCCCCATGGGATAGTGGTTAAGTTTGGCGCACTCCACTTCAGCAGCAGCTTGGGATCCCAGGGTGGACCTACACACTACCCAAGCAAAAACAGGAAGACTGGCAACAGGTGTTAGCTCAGGGCCAATCTTCCTCAGAAAAGAAAAAAAATCAAAGTGTGTCTGAGAGTCTATTTTATTACAAAACAGCATTCTCTAAAAACTGGTAGAATTTTCGTTAAAAAACAAACTAGGAGTTATGCAAGATTTCTGGTACAATTGATTGATTTTAAGTCCCTTGCTGCCTCCAAATAACATTGAGGTGTTTTATATCCTGTAGGGCACACAGAGCAGCTTTGTCTTAGGGGTTATGAGAAGCTGTCTTAAACATTCCTTTCTGGTCCGTGAAGTAATCATTGCCTGACTCCTCCTCTAGAACAGTGACACATTCTTAGTGTATCTAAACAGTTCCTAAAATTTAAGATGATTTGTAAGATTTTCTTTTTCATCACGATACGTCCATCTCAGATAAGTGTAACAACAACCACAGAGCTCTCCTTTCTTCCTGAGTGAGCGGCCTCATTCTAGCTTCCTAGAGCCTTTCCTTATCCTTCCTCATTGCCAATTCTACTGCTTGTTTTTTCTTTTTCAAATGCTGCAAATGTAGCCCTCTGATTAGATTGAAATTGTAAAAATCTGAAAAATGGTTGTTAAAATTAGTCCTGTGACCCAGAAATTAGATGACTGCTTAATATTTTTACACCACTGGATTATACACTGAACGGCTGTGTTTTGTTCATCTCTTATTGACAAATCCCACATGTGTCCTGTGTTGTGTGCCATTCAAGAGTCCTGTGGAATCTTTCAGGCTGGGCCTCAGGCTTGAACTTCAAAGTCCATGCTTCCTTACTTATCTACCTGACTCCTCCCACCCAAGGACTTGGGAGATGATGTGTGAGCATAATACTCTCCTGCTAACACGTGATTCCAGGACATGCCATGTGTTTTATTTTTAGTAAACTTTTTATTGAAGTATAATGTGTATTTTAAAAATGCACAAATCCTAAGTATACCACTGGATGAATTTTCACAAAGTTAATACATCCATGTACCCAATCAAGAAACAGAACAGTGCCTTCCTTGCAAAGCCCCCAGGTGTCCCTCCCCAGCACTCCTCGTTCACCAAGAGGAGCCACAGTCCTGGCTTCTAACAGGATCAATTCGTTTGTCTAATTTTCAGCTTTATATCAGTGGAATCATTCCGCATGTACTCTTTTGTGTCTGGCTTCTTTTGCTTACCCTTTTGTTTGTGAGATGTATTTGTGTTGTTGTGGCTCATTCATTCTCATTGCTGTATAGTATTCCATTGAGCAAATACACGACAGTCTCACTGTTGATGGGCATTTGTGTTGTTTTCACCTTGAGGCTTTTATGAATAATGCTGCTGTTGTGACATTCTTGTGACACAGTCTTTTTTATAAAGTGGACTATAAACAAACATTTTTTTCCTTTGCGGTTTTTTCTTTCTCTGTAGAACACTATTGCAGAATGGCAAACTGTTTTCTGTATCGCTGCTGCTATCAATGTATTTGGTGCCATTTTCTTCACACTGTTCGCCAAAGGTGAAGTACAGAACTGGGCTCTCAGCGATTACCATGGACACAGAAACTGAAGGAACCAATAAACAGTCCTCTCTATTGATGTATTTTTGTTTATCATGTAACCTAAAAGTGCCTTCAATATTTTAATGTGTGAGCATTCTGTGTACAAGAAAAAATTGTACTTGTATTAAATTTTTAAGGCTTGTAATCATGAAATGTCACTAGTTACCAGATTAGTAAAAATGGCTATTTTTAATTATTAATGACATGTATGCTGGGACTTACACTTTAGGGTCACATACCTGGCTGCAAGTCAGGCAATATGAAGTAGGGGAGTTCTGTTTATTTTTAAGGGCCATACTTAAAGGAATGAGCTGAAATAGATCTCTCTCTGTACCTTTGCTTAATTAAAGTAGATAATAATTCTCAGGTCTCGGTAAACACCTGTTTTTGTTCACTTTCCTCATAAAAATTATTTGTCAGCAGCAATCCCTGACACTCAGGTCTCAAACTTTAGCATCTCCACGGAGCTGCTGGCCACTGCGTAATGTGGCCTGGCAACTGCACTGAGGGCAGCGTGCCCGGGCAGCTGCCAGGCATTCCGGCCCTGGCCTCGGGGACAGCGCCAGTGTTGATCAGAGGCCGCATCCGAGAGCAAGGTCAGCACCCGGACTTTGGACGGTGTTCTTCCCCTGGGGCCGTTCACGTGTGCTAAAGCAGGGCGGGCAGGAGCAGCGGGCTCCACGCCGTGAGGGCTGCCCCATCCGGCTCCCTGGAACAGAGATTGGCAGGTAGCCTGCAAAAAAAGAGTGTGATGCCCACTTAGCCACAAATAACATCCTCCTTGATTAAAACTACCTTCACATGGATCAGAGTGTAAATTTCCAAGTCCTGTGTTCTGTGAGCTACACCAGACTAAGTAAATTGAAGAAGAACTCTTAGGTGTTTTTCCGCCTGCGTCTGAGCTCCTGGTTGCAGTTCAAGGTTCAAGTGGCTGTTAGTCGGCCACGTCACCTGCACCCAGTGATGTGATCTCTTTACCGCTGGTTCCCGAAATCATATTTTTCCAGGTTTTTCCTGGAGCATCTTAAGTGGTTTTCAAGCACACTTTGAAGGCATTTATGTGATTTAGAACTTGGTTTATGTTTTGTTGTGTTTGTTCAACACTACCTGTACCATTTTAACTAAAACTATTTAATGTAATATGACATGAATACGTTTCTGTAAAATTATTTTTTAATTTGTAAATAGCTTTAAGTTGGTATGATGATATTTCTTTTACAAATCATCAAAATAAACCTTTCTGGATGGATATTTGGCTCTGACAGTTCTGTGGTATTTTCCAGCGTCCACAGTGGCAATTTTACATCATCCTGCCATCCTCCTCAAGCCACCCATCTCCCCTACACGCATCTCTGCCGGCACCAGGCTGAGGGCACTTGGGCCGTCTGAGTGGTGCAGCATCAGAAATCTCTCTTGCCCTCAGGCTGCCCCCTTCCTAGCCCTGAGCAGGTCCACTCCTCTTGCTGAAGCAACGTCGCCAGCCCCATCCTCTCCCACTGCCTCTACGACCTCACTCCAGTGACTCCTCCAGTAATTTGCTTCTTCAACCTCTACCTCTCTTCTCGTTCTTTTCCTTCTGTCGCAAAGACACACGAGTCTTCTCTAGCTTTTAGAAAACAAAAATACAAAACTCTCCTGGGAACGTAAAAACACTTATGTATATACAGAATATCTCTGGAATGATGCTTAGGAAACTGGGCACAGGGTTACCTCTGGAGAAGAACAGGCAGCCAGGGTAGGAAGGAGAGTGATTTTTCACTTCACCACATGTGGCAGTATAACCCATTCAAATAAAAACGTTTACAAACAAAAGCAAAGCGAAACAGCTGTCACTCAAGCTGCCACGTGTTCACCACCAGGTTTCCAGCTGCCCGCAGGGCATCCCCAGCCGCTGTCTTCTTTGCACTAAGACTTGTTTAAATCTGGCCTCACTCCTCCACTCTCATCCCCAATAAAGCCAGCTGTCTCTGCCACTTTCTGTCTTCCTGTTAAAAGTTCCTTTCCCCAGTCACTCAGGCAGACACCTGAAGTCATTTTTCATTCTTCCTCCTCCCTAGTCTCCCACCCCACCCCAAACCCTGTGTGTAAGGAACTACCTGTCTTTGCCATTCCACTTTTCCAGGTCTCTGGAATTTTTTTTAATTCCTCTGCCATCTAAATAAAATTTTGTGGCTTTTGTTTCCACCTGGAATAGAAAAGTTAAGTGGTCTCAGTGCCTTAGTCTGGTCCTCTTCTGTCCGACTTCCTACCCGTGCTGGCTTGTCAGTTCCAATACACCCCATCTCCCTGATCAGGATGCTCCCTCAGGCGAGCCCCCTGCTTTCCCTTTGCCTACCCAATGAAACTTACCTGCAGCCTGCACTCCTTTGCTCCCAATCTCCCCATCTCCCGCCACACCTTGTTGCCTCTGCATCAAGCTGCTCAACCCTTCCCCACCAGCTCTTCATTTTCCCTGCCCCCTTCCTTTACTCATGTCATTCCTTGGGCCTGAAAGGTCGCTCTTCATCCTCCTCCTTCATGACCCTTCCACCTCCTTCATGACCCTTGATTTCTTGCACTCTCCATGATCTAAATGTGGTCTCCTCCTTTGACCCACTAAAACACCACGTTATTTATTTTGAGTGTTTATCTTAAACTCAAGGGCTCAAGCTCAGTTATGAGGAAGAAATCATTCATTCAACAAATGTGAACATCTACTCTTTGCTAGGTAATAAGGGTACAGAGATGCCTTCGACAGTCCTTCCCCTCCCGAGGGCTCCCTGGAGCTCAGTCAGGCTCTTCGATTCCCTTCTCCCCATGACCTTCTCTTAAGAACACGTGTGAACACGTGTGTGTCTGTCTCCCTGTTAGAGGCACCACGAGGGTCCTGCCCACCTCAGAGCAGCATGTGTTTGTCTTAATGTTTTAGTTGCTTAATAAATATTTAGTAAATATCCCTTTGGTTAAATGGACTATAAATTGAATTTTTTGTCTCATATTTTTTCAATGTTTTTTTCTTCTCAAAAGAATGTGCGGATATCTTTCAATGAAGAAATGATACGCTAAACTCAAAAGAAGTAGCAGTTATCGGTAAGCGGTTTTGAAAGTATTTGAGAATAGCTTACTTCTTTATGGGCAAAATAATTCTCCTGCCAGTTATGCCACAAATACTTATTGAGCATTGACTCTGAGCCGGGCTTCATTCCCGTGCCCAGGATACAGCAGTGAAAAAAAGCAAACCGCTTTTCTCATGCAGCTCACATTCTGAGTTATCAAACCTTCTGCTTCAGAGGCGCCAGCCTTTGAAACCTTCCATGTGAAACGTCGTTATCCACCCAACAAGCAAACCCAGTGGGAATGAGCGTGCTGGCTGACCCTGAGAGTCAGGGTCAGGGAGGAAGAGGAGCCCAGCGCCGCGGTCAGCAGCCCGTGAGCCGTCGTGGTGCCCTTACTTCCGCCTTTGTTTCATTTTCAAGAAATCAGAACGACAGGTTTGAACTTAGACTCTGTTGTAAAGTAAATAATCTAATCTGTCTGCGCGCAGCTTATCACTGTTCAGAATAAAATTCCTGCAGTAGGAAAATACCGATAGAGAATGTACGTGTGACGGCAGAAGGGGCACTTGGCCATGGCCTGGTTGCTCAGGAAAAGCACGTCGCTGCCTCCGAGGAACAGATGGGGGGCAAAGGTCCGATTTCGGCTGAAGAATACATGATTTTTCTCACAGGAACGTAAACTAAGATGGACCACAAAGCCTTTTCAGATGCCTCAGCCAATAGAGCAACCCTAGCAGAAAAGCCCATCCCAAAGCCCGTGTTGCGCGCGGGGTCACAGAAACCGCCTCGGCGCGCCGCCGTGCAAAGCGGCGAGGACGGGCACGGCCGAGGAGGACGGCGACGCGAGCAGCGTTCCGCGCCTTGGTCCCGTGGTCGATGGCGAAGCACACCGGGGACGTTCCGAGCACCTGCTTCCTCTCACTGCATCTTGCGTTTGGGAGGGGGGGGCTCAGAGGCGCCGCGTCCCCGCACACGCCGGCCGCCCCAGCCCCGCGGGCTCCTTTCGGCAGGAAGCGCGTCCCCCGGCGCGGCCAGCAGAGGGCGTCCCGCCGAGCGCCGGCCGCGCAGAGCCGGCCCCGCGGGGGGAGCTCCCGCGCCGGGCGGCCCGCAACCCCCGCGCCCCACGCAGCTGTGGGTGAGATTGACAGCGACCTGATAGGATTTATTCTGCTGTTTTTAATGCTCAAGAAGTGTTTCGTGTGAAGTATTGGGATGCTATTAGAGAAAATTTAAGTGTGTATATTGTATAAATTACCTATACAACATCTGTTATCATGCACTTTTTCTTTTTAACACCGAGAAGCGGCGTCAGATGTCTGCAGTGCTTGGAGCTGCTCTGTCGTCAGCGGCAGGAAGTTTATCCCGGGGCATCCACAGGATGTTCTTTTTCATCACCACCAGCTACAGAGAACAAGTGATAAATAACAGCGCCTGCATGCACGGTCACATACATTTCCTCACGTAACAATAACCCTGAATATGCAGGAAGCAAGACCCATTTGAAGCTGGGATCAGAGAGACGTTCTCTGGCTTTTGATGGAGAGGTCGTTGCCTTACAGAGACCCAGCCAGTGACCTTGGCTCCCAGCGCCAGCTTCTGCCAAAGAAGCCCCTGGCTCAGACCACTACGTTAAGCCAAGGAAATCCCTTGACGACATCTGTCCCCAGCACGGAATCAAACTATTATTCAAAGGACAAACCGTCTCTTATTAATTAGAAGAAATCCTAGAAGCAGCCTTGTGCACAAGGGCACGCAAGGCTTTTACTTCTCCCTTGGTGAGTATTAGCCCTGGGCCTCAGAGCAACGCCGGCGGGGACTGTTGTATCACCGCCTTAGCTCGATGGGGGACATTCAGGGTATTTAATTATTCCATGTTTATTCTAGAGGACAATAAATTTTGTCGTTTCTATAAACCTAAGCATGCCAGTACACAATTCAGTTGCTTCCATGAAAAAATTTAACTCATTATTTCTACTAACGGACCAGTTTGAAATTTTCAACAGTTGGGACACTTTGGTGAAGTACAAAAGACCGGCCCTCCCACTCGGCGCTGTTACTGAAATGAGCTCCTTCGGAGGAGCTGTCCCATCCCATCCTTGGCTTCACGGACCTTGTTATTTCAGTTCGTGGGATGGGAAGCAAGGATTGGGGAGAGGACCTTTAGTTCCCAGTGGGAATTGAATGTTCAGAAGGCAGGAGAAAAGTAAGTCGAGAAACCTCACTGTGTTTTCTACACCTCCCCTCCCACCATCCTTCTGGTTTCCTTGCTCTGTGGCGGCCGCGGGCCTCTCTCCCATCACCCCTCTTCAGTCTTTGCTGATAGCAGGAATGGTAGCTGCAGAGTCGCTGCCGGAGCCCCTGGCCTCTCTGTTCCTCCTGGAAGCCTTCCTCAGGCACCAGTCCTTCTTTCCGCCTTGCCTTTTGACCCGCACAGTAAAACAGACCTGACGAGGTTGACGAGGGACAACGGTGAGTTTCCCTTACCAGCTTTCGACTGGCCAGAGATGCAAGCAGATGTGGGGTGCACATTACTAAATCTTTGGAGTCCTCATTCTTCCGCGGTAAGTCTAAGGAGGTTGGAAAGAAGAAGAGGAGAATGGAATGGATTGAATCAGGACTATCTGAGGCTCTCAACTGAATAAAAACTAAATTAGATGAGAAAATAGTAAAGATATGTTCAAAATTGGATGCTGTAGTGTCTAGTATTATACTATTATAAGTAACAATATTTATAAATTTCCCAGAGTAGAGAATTGGTGCCAGGTACTGTATGAGGGCTCTCCATTTAACGTTTATTTAACTCTCCCCACAGCCCCATCATGGAGCTATCAGTACCACCATTTTACAGATGAGGAAACTGAGAAAATCATACAGCTAAGTGACAGACACAAGATTCAAACCAGGTGTCTCTGACATTAGAGCAGAATCTCTTTAGTCCTGTGCTATACTGCCTCCATTAAAAATCATGTTTGAACACTGTTTATGGGAATAAAAATCATTCCAACATTTTTGGAGAGTAATTTGGCAGTAAGTCAGTCAGTAAATATATTCATTGAACCAACAATTCCACCTATGGTTGTCTAGCCTAAAAAATACTTGAACAAGCACAAAGCATTTTTTGGAATAGTGTCAATTTTCCATCAATAAGGAAATTGTTAAATGTTATGGCATATTCATAAAGGAGAAGAATATCCAGCCATTAAAAAGTGAGAAAGA